CTTAAGGGATTGGGGGCGGGGTATTTCCAGCAAACCTTCTGTACTGGCACTTGCTCTGTATGTGTAGCGTCTTCTGATTTGCTTCTAGAGCCATTTTTTCATGAACTGCTCACAGGAGGACATGGCACCCCCTGGTGTGTCCCACCTGGTGTCTCTGGAGACATAGTTGGCATTCCCACCTCTCGCTGACTCTCTCACCTGAAAGTGTGGCCCAGAAGAAAGGTGGGGACTTCTAAGTCCGGCCGAAGAAGGGACATTTGAAGGCACCACACTGTGTATGTGGCCACCCTGCCCCAAGGCAGTCCTTTCTCTGGGGCTGGCCCTTCTGCAAGCTCCCCAAGCCTGAGGTCCCTTGAGGTTCTTTGTGGCATGCTGTCGGGGGCCCCACCCCCAGCTGCCCTGGCTTGGTCCAGGATGGAAATGACCAATCCGGGGGAGGTTTTAGTTATGTTTCTGTTTAAAACTTGAAGCTCGTGGATGTCCAGTCTTCTCTCCTGTGGACTTCGTTGGTTTTTCCTAAAAGGCTCCAAACCCATCTTCTTGGCATTTGGGTGCTACCGTTTTGAGCCAATTTCCTTGTCAGTCTAGTCTTCACTGGGGTCATCTCCACCCACCTTTTGCTCTGTAAACGGGCTCCCATTTCTTCTTTTGGAAATCTTATGTTCTTCCCTCCCAAAATCTGCCTCAGTCTCCCCTTCTGGAATAATCTCTCTTCTCCTCTGGCCCCTCCTAGTGTGTGCTTGCCTATTCTTTGCAATGCATCTTATCCCCTTTATTTTATGGAAACTTCTTGGAGAGCAGAGGCAGTGCTGTCTCCTCTTTTGTGTTTGCCATGTTGCCTCATACACAGTGTAGACAGAGTTTCAGAAAGACGTTCATCCAAGCATGGTATTGGAAACCATGGGTTTCAGTTGACAGGTGATATGTGCTGAGTGTTCAGAATGCCTTTACAGTGGGAAAACATTTTATAACATTTTAAACAGTTATTTTTTTATTTTTATTTTTATTTTTTTTTTGAGTTGGAGTCTCACTCTGTCACCCAGGCTGGAGCAAGTGCAATGGCTCGCTCACAGCCACCCCAGCGTTAACCTGCTGGACTCCGGCGATCCTTCTGCCTCTGCCTTCCGAGTAGCTGGAACTACAGGCATGTGCTACCATGCCCGGCTAATGTTTTATTTTATTATAGAGATGAAGTCTTGCCAAGTTGCCCGGGCTAGTCTCGAACCCGCAGACTCTGGCAATTCACTCCCCTCGGTCTCCCATAATGCTGGGATTATAGTCTGAGCCACTGAGCCCGGCCCAAACGTTTATTATCAGTTTGAGATCTGCCTATTAAATAAGAATAAAGAAGTAAACAGCACACTTTAGTATTTAAGAGGAGCGGGTACCGGAATTATGTTTGACTTAGAAACTTGCCCTGTGAAGTTACTGCTATGTATCTTCAGCAGGATTGTTTCATTTTCTAGATCTCTGTTTTTTCAGCTGTAGAGTAGAGATAACAATATGTGATTCAGTGAACATGAAAAGCACCATTATTTCATATACTATCAAGAAAAAAATTTACTGTCGATTAAACAATGATGCAATGTTTTCTATGGCTTCACATTTTTATTTCATACTTATTGAACTAGCTCCTTAGCTACATTTAGGCTTTTTAAAAAATCTCACATCACAGTTTACAAAGGAAAATAAATTGGTTAAGGTTTTCCTAAAATGTTTTTATATTCAAAGTCTAAGTCTTTTGAAACACATTTGGTCTCCAAGATGTTGAGTTTCATGTTTCTTACACATCCTCTGCAACATTGAAGCTATTGATGATGTGACTATTTTTCCCCCCCAAATCGAACTCCTGTCTTCTTTAGATTTTCTGCTAAGCTGATAGCACTGTTCTTCAAGTTTTAAATGCTGGTGTCTTCCTAACCTTACAAACCATATCAACAGAAGGTTTTCAGCCAGCTGCCTGAACTCAAATGGTCCTGAGATCATTTGTACATTGAAACAACAGAAGGTTGTAAATGGCCACCAAGAATAAAAATTAAGTTATAATAACTGCATCCTGATCACCTCCTGGCTGATAGTGACTGTAAGACATACTCCTCTTTCAGAGATGTTAAAATCAGAAAAAAAAGCACATCTCAGAACAGATACTATTGGTATAGCCTATCTCTCTTTAACCTAACTTTCTTGTGGTGAGATTTAAGGAGAGAAGGTTTGTATCTATTATTTTGATTATGGTTACAATGTATTCTTAGGAAGCATGGTGGGCCCTCTAATAACAGTAACTGTTATTCATGGCACTCGTTAATGTGGTATATTTATTAGCTTAATTTTCATATTGAAAATTTTCCATTTTTTCCCCTTTTTTATTGAGGTATGATTTACATTCAGTGAAATATACAGGTTAGGCATACAGTGCTATTAATTTTAGCACTGCTCTTACCACCAGCTCTCTCAAGATACAGAACATTTTCATCACTCAGAAACGTTATCTCTGTCATCATCTCTCCTTTCCAGATGACCTCTGTTCTGGTATCTTCTAATATGGATTAATTTTGCCTGTTCTGGAACTTAATAGAATCATGTGGCATGCACTCTTTTGGGTCTTTTTTTTAAAGATACATACATGTTGCTGCATTTATGAAGAATTTGTTTCTTTTTAATTGCTGAGTAGTCTTTCATTGTGTAGCAATACTCTTATTGTTTTTGCATTCAACTGTTGATGGACATTCAGGTAGTTTCAGTTCTGGACTCTCATACATAAAGCTACTATGAACATTCAAGTATAAATATTTTTGAACATTCAAGTATAAATATCTATAAATATTTATAAATAAACACGTTATTATTTTTCTTGTGTAAATACATAGAAGTAGAATTGCTGGATTAAAGGGATTAACTTTATGAGAAACTGGCAGAACTTTTCTCAAAGGGACTGTGTCATTTTACATGTTGAGAATTCCAGTTGCCCTATATCCCTGCCAATGTTGACATTTTCTATCTAATTAATTTGAGCCATTTGAGTGGGCTTATAGTGGAATCTCTATGGTTTTAGTTTGCATTTTCCTGATGACTAATGATGTCAAACACTTTTTCATATACTTGATGGCTATTTGTATATCTTACTTTGCAAAATGGCTAAGTAATTTGCCCGTTTTTCAGTGACATTTTTGCTTTAATTGTCAGGTTGTAGGACTTAAGTCCTATGTCAGATGTATGTGTAGCAAATATCTTCTCCAGGTCTGTGACTTGCCTACTCATTTTCTTAATGTATCTTTTGATGAGCAGAAGTTTGTAATTTTGATGAAGTCCATTTATCAACTTTTTTCTTTCATAGTTGGTGTTTTGTGTGACCTAGCTAAAGTTTTTGCTTATCCCAGGGTCAGTAAGGTATTTTCTTATAGAAACTTTATATTTTTTAATTTCTACATTTAGCCCTGTGATTCAGCTCTGATTAAATTTTGTGTGTGGTTTGAGGTATGACTCAAGGTTAATGTTTTCTCTACAGAGAGAGTCAGAGGTTCCAGCACCATGTGTTAAAAATACTTTCTTTTCTTCATTGATTTGTTTGGCCATTTTCATTGAAAATCAGTTGACTGATGAGTGTGGATCCATTTCTGGACTGTCTATTCTAATCCATTGATCTGTTTGTCTATCTATCTATATGCTAGTGCCATTCTGTCTTGATTTATGGATTCTGTGTCAGTCTTAAAGTCAAAACTAACTTTTTAAGGATTGCTTTGGTGTGTCCAAATCTTTGCATTATTTCTAAAATTTCAGAATAAGCTTACACATTTCTATGAAAGAATCTCATGAAATTGTGATTGAGGTTGTATTAAATCAATTTGGGGAAAATTGAAGTCTTAGCAATATTAAGTTTATCAGTGTATGTATATAGGATATTTTTCTAATTTTTTTCATTTCTCTTGGCATTTTTTTAAAAAATAGTTTTCACTGTAGAGCTTTTGCACATATTTTAAAAAATTATCAGTAACTATTTTGAAGTTTTAAATAGTGTATAAATTGTTTTTTAAAAAAATCTTCCAATTTTTTGTTGTTAATATTTCAACATACAATTGATTTTTGTATATTGACCTTGCTTCCTGCAACCTTGTTGCATTCAACCTGCCATATATTTTGCTTAGTGCTTTACAGAATTTCTGGTTTATTCTTGCAGTCACTTATGGTTCAAGTATTATTATGATAACATTTTCTAGAAGTTTGCCCAGATGTGCTAATGTCTTTGCTCTGGATTATGCAGTTTGGGTAATGGGAAGCTCGGATTTTTTTTTTTCTTTTTTTTTTGAGTCGGAGTCTCACTCTGTCGCCCAGACTGGAGTGCAGTGCCCACTCCCGGCCACCACAGCCTCGACCTGCTGGGCTCCGGTGATCCTTCCGCCTCAGCCTTCCAAGTAGCTGGAACTACAGGCGTGCGCTACCACACCCAGCTAATTTTTTGATTTATTGTAGAGATGCGGTCTCGCCAAGTTGCCCAGGCAGGTCTCGAACCCGCGGGCTCAGGCAATCCACTCACCTCAGCCTCCCAAAGCGTGGGATTACAAGCTGAGCCACCGAGCCCGGCTGAGGCTAGGATTTTAATTGAGGTCTAGTCTGATTTCCAGGCCTAGTCCCTTTCCACCCTACTGTAATATGTCACTTCTTGCACGTCTGGATATTTGAATTGAATGACACATCGTGGCTTCCCTGGGTTCCCCTGGGACATTTTTGTGTCCTTATGTTTCACAGAACATGAGTTAGCTGATGGTACCCCTAAAACAGAATTAAGAATACGATGATAAGAGACTGGGGGGGGGTTTCCAGCTTAAGGAAGATAATATTTTTTCAAGTTCCTCTCCAGAGGGCAGTTAAATAAGTTGTATGTAATTGCAAAGTTCAGTTCCTTTACCTGTGCTGTGAGGGGATGTTAGTTGCTGCCAGACCTTTCATATTTGCGGATGCTGTAAAACTTGTTTTCCCTCCTTCTCTCCCACCATGGGCTGCAGGAAACCATTTCTGTACAGCTAAGGACCTCACGGAGGAGATTAGATCGCTAACCTCCGAGAGAGAAGGGCTGGAGGGACTCCTCAACAAGCTGTTGGTGCTGAGTTCCAGGAATGTCAAAAAGCTGGGAAGTGTTCAAGAAGATTACAGCAGATTGAGAAGAGAACTGGAACACCAGGAAACTGCCTACGGTAGGTAGTGCACAACTGCTGCCTGGTGGGATATTCATGATATGTGTTGTGTTGCGTGACCGGGCAGACCATTCTGTGCTTCATGTGAACGTCACTGTGCAGGGTGTCGTGGAGCACATGGCCCTTTTCCTGGGAGACGTTTTTGGCAGGCGCCTTGGCAAGCGGGGTGGAATTACTTGTCAGCTTTTGTTTTGATAGTCACATGTGACATCTTTTCTTTTTCTGTTTTTCTCCCTCCTCTACCCCGCATTTGCTAATGGCCTTGTGATTATTGAGAGCAGTCTCTCCCTTGGCACAGGTTTTAAGCATTTTCTTTGTTTGACAATTATCTTCCTTTTGTCTCTTGGCTCAGTCTTCCGGTCTGCACAATCACAGACTAAATCAGGCTGACTGAGAAAATTGAGAAAAGACCATGAAGTGGCTCTTTTATGTGTGTGCTTTTCTGAGAGCTTCTTTCCCCAGGAAGAAGGGTCTAGAAGACGTCAGTGCTGCTAGCTGAAGTGTCTGCTTGTTGGTGGTATTAAAGCATTCTTGTGTTCTTTCCTGTTCCGGTTGTGGAGAATGACTGAGGTCACCCTGAGAGGTAGTCTCAAAAGATGCTGGTTCGGTTCAAATTGAGATAGTAAAAACTTACTTTTAAAAAAATAAAAATTCCTGGTGATTCTGATTTGAATATACAGAACGGGATTTTTAAAAGTAAATTCAGATTTTTAATATAGTAGATGTTGGAGCCTGTTTCTCCACTGGTAAAATGAGAAGAATGACATCTATTTCATAGGCAGATTAAGTAGCACAAATTTATTTACAAAGACCCTGCAGAGTGTGTGTGTGTGTGTGTGTGTGTGTGTGTGTGTGTGTGCATGCACAGGCATGTGTATGTGTCCATGTGTGCATGTATGTATGCCTTTTCATTTCCCCTAGGGACTGAAAGTTGCTGGAAGGCAGAGGTCATATATAGTGTATCACGGTTCCTAAATAAATACTGTTTACCAAAAAGAGAAAGAAATATATGTATATAAATAAATGTGTACACTTTCAAAGTATGATTATTTAAGAAGAAAAAAAGGAAAGAATGGGGCTGTTAGGAGCCAGATTTGAAATAGGGTTATTTGAAAATGTTCCACAAACTGAAATGCATGAAGATGAGTATTTATAAACCAAATTCAGAAATATAAAATCAGTTAGCAGAAATTAAGTGTGCCATTTCAGGATGAATACATTTTGTTTTATTTGTAGAGACAGAGTCTTGCTATGTTGCCCAGGCTAGTCTTGAACTCCTGGCCTCGTTATTCTCCCGCCTCAGCCTCCCAACGTGCTGGGATTACAGGCATGAGCCCCTGTGCCTGGCCAAAACATTCTGTTTTAAAAGCTTACCAACTGAGTACCGAGGGGTTTCTTCACAGTTATTTGAATCAGTGTATGTTCAGTCTTTATTCTATCTTCTTTGCAATGAGTACCCCTAAGTCGGTTCAACAACTCAGTGCTTATCTTTTTTTCTTTTAAAGGTCAACCTTGTTTTTGCCAAATATGTAACTAGAGACTGCACATTTGAGTCTAAATAACTAAAATATTGAGAAACGACAACATGGTCACCCAAGATGTCACAGCCAGTTTATTATGTCATGATATAAATGAGCGTTGTACATTTCAAGCAGACTTCTGCTATTGGGTTTTAAATGTACAATGAAAACGGTGTCATTTCTCATGTTATTACCACATAATTTTTGACACAAAATGAGGAATATGTTATATCTAAGAATAAAGAAAATGTGAAAAAGTTCGAGCAAATTTAATCCAGTAATATTTTAATTTGAGTAGTTGAGCTCTTGAAAGCCGTTAATATCTCTTTTTTTAAAGAAGAGGACCGTGCTGTATTTTTTGGATCTCATCATCACTTCACTAAGTATTTTCAAAATGATGAATAAAACATAAACCATTGGAATTAGAATTAGAGATTGTTGGAATTAGAGTGGAATTAGAGATTGTTACCCTGGATGATTCTAAATTGCAGACGGCTCACTGCTGTTGTGAAGCCTCTCGACGTTTTGTGCATGGAATTTGCTGGATCAGCTACCCTTCTTCCTACATGTTGATTTACACGTGTTTTGGGCCGAAGCTAACTTTAAATTTAACCTCAGGTGACGTGGTTTTGAGTGAACTAAATTAATAATCTAGAGTTGGCGAGCATGTAGGAAACAAATAAAGACTCTCTGAGTAAATTGAAGCATTTATCTACTGAAACGTAATAGAACTGGGCCAAAGTCCATATTCCGCTGTTTTTGAGTTTTGAGAGTTAAAAATTCAGAGGGAGCTCTGTGTTCAGGTTTAGATGTAGAGCCAGCACAAAGATGTGGTGTGCATATGCATTTATACCTATGTATGTATGTACGATGACTCTGTTTAGTCTTAGACGAAACATTTTACAATAGAACCATTTAAGAAATGAGTCGTATGGAGCATGCTTTAAAAAAAGATTTTGATTTCCGACTATGGTTGTAGATTGCAGCATTCAGGGAGAAAAGCCACCTCAGAGATGGACAAGCAGTCCTGATGGTCAGGGTGAGACTCTTCTATTTTGTTCCTCTGTGCCCCTCAGCATGTGACATTCAGTCCAAGATGGTGACCCAGCCCCAAGCATGTCTAAGTCCAGTCAGATGAACAAAGGAGGAAGGGAGTGCACCTGTCCCCTTGAAGGGCCCTTTTGGCGCCGACATGCATCTCTGCTACTGCCACATCCCTGTGAAGTCCTGGGTTCTGTTTCTGTAGCCAAAGGAGAGATTTTCAGTCTTAGGGAACAATGAGCAATGCCTCTCACACAGAGAACGCTCACTGATGTGAAGTGTATCATCTCTAATGACTCCTCTGAGATGAACTTGCTTCACTGATCACTTAAGATGTCATCTATATCTCGTGTCTCTGGCTGGGCTGTGAGCCCACTGAAGCCAGAGCATTGCCCTTAGGCCTCATTCTGGTGCTTCAGTATCCAGCATGAGGTCTTTTAAAATAGTCGATACAGTGTACTGTAAATATTTATTTATTTACTGGGGCCTGATGTTAAGACATAAATCCTTTCGTCCTTCAGTGTGAATTACAGATCCAGACCTTGAATCTTTTGCTTCTTCATTCATTTTCCAAATTAATGAGCGATAAGTTTGGTCGTCTTTGATGGAAGGTGCTGGAGTTGTCTGAGTTGGATATTGGAATGTCAGCAGACAGAACAATATAATGATAGAAAAGGAACGGAAACATGCCAGGGTACTCAAGGGCAAAGGAAAACAGACATCATCACTGAATCCATTGGCTTTTGCCACCATGACACGGTTTCGATAAAGAGATGAGAAAAAAGCATGCTTTAACTCCTATCAGCTGTTCTTAAGACTTCAGGAAAACACATTTAAATTCTGAGCAATTTTAAGTGCAGTGAAATAGAATGAAAAGCTAAATCTATCTTCCATTGCCTGAATATTTATGGAAATGAACTATAAACCTTTAATTATTGTGGATTTCAATGTGTGTGTTTCTTAAAGGAGGGTCGGATAAGTAACTTTTTTTATAGATTGCCGCATCTGTTTTTCAAGAAAAAAAAGACAGCCCTCAGATAACTGTTTTTCCATCCCTTGTGTATAAGTTGGTAATCTGTATTGTACTTTATTAATATTGTTGATTTCGCACTGTAACTCAGATATAAAGGAAGCCGACGTCAAGGGGAGAGATTTAATCACAGAGTAATCAGGGCTAGAATTTTAAATAGGACATCATTAGCATGCTAATGAATTTTCCTACCTTATGCCAGCTGCCTGAGTAGAAAAGATACTGCAAATGTAGCTCAAAAATCCATGGCCCAGTGAGCTGTCAGGAATCTGAGTAGGGAAGCCACAGACTTGTGGCGGGATTCTTCTTTCCACATTTATCAGATATATGTAGAAGAAACATTCATGAAAAATTAGAAAAAAATCTATAGGTCTCTTTTTTGGTGGGGGGAAGGAGGACACGGAGAACTGAAAAAATAAATGTTCCAACAATTGAAACAATAAAATTAAAAAACCCAGATAGAAAAAACGCTAATGACAAGGGTTGATTATTTTGGTTGAGAATGGTTGAGAATATCATGCGATGAGCTCCCTAAGAAGCCAGAGCAAAAAAGACATTTGTTTGAAGTATCATCCATCTTCCTTGAAAGTGACTTCAAGAGCATAAAGTTTTCAGGGACTCCAGAATGTTGTTAAATTCTTACAGACCATTTTCTTGAGAGCATAATGGAAAGTCCTCATGAACAGATTTATAACAAATGCAAAAGCTCCTTTCATATGGCTGTTACCAGTTACCTCTGGAAAAAAAATTCTGAGGGGATCCCTTCAAAGCAGGACTCATGGACCGAGAGTGAAATGACACACATTTTAGATACGTGGGTGTGTACAGCTTTTCTCTCAAAAGATGCAGTTTTTCAGCAGATTTTTAAAGGAGTCATTCTAAAACCTCCAAATTTTAAGAAATATTATGTCAAGTATAACATTTGGGGTAAATTAGTAAGGGCTTGATCTAGTGATGTTTAACGATGGCATTTTCTAGTGATGTGAGCTGATTCACGATGAGACCTAGTACTTGAAAAGTGACTGGGGAACATGTCATACAGACCCATCAAATGTCACTGCGTTCCTCTGGGCTTTGGTGAAGATCTACATAGTAGACTACTTAGCTCTCTGGGCTGGAAAACTGATAGTACTCTTGGTAACCAAGGGCCAAACTCTCTGCTTTAAAACCAGAGGATCAGATAAGTGCAGTACTCTGTGTGTCGAGAAGCTTGGATATATGGGAAATAGAGTTATATGTACCTTTTTCTAAGTTGGAAACATTTGTCTATTTAAATCAAAATTTCCATTGAATAGGATCTTTTGGAGGAAAACTCTTTTTACAAATTCCGAAATCTTTTCCTTTGGGTTTTTGAATGGGCTGAGCTTTCACATCTCTAACGGTTTCTCTTTGATGCACCTTATTAATTA